ATAATATGGGATTTATAAGGATTACTGGGAACGTGTTGTATAAGATTTGCGTTCATGATAATTTCCATTTCTTTCATAATTACAATTGGTGCAATTATTCCACAAGTTACGTGTAAATCTTGTCATATAATTCTTTGTTATATTATAATATATAACAAACAGAGATATTATCAGGTACGATAACAAAGAAACGCTGATATAAAACGGGATGTCAATACTATGTTCAAATGTCGAAGTTAACAGAGAACAATGGTTGAAAGATTAGTAAACCAATAGAACTCAGATAAGAATACAAATTACTTAATACGAAAGGAATGTGTTTAAATAAGCCCTTCCTTGTCATTTTCTTCATAAAGGTATTATTGTACAAAATCACAGGTCGTGAATCAAAGAGTTCAATTAAACTGAACATGACAAGCAGGTGTAGGTAGATAACATTGATATATACACCACCCATTATAGAACCAACAGTTGTCAGGCAAGATACGCCCAGATTTTGCAAGGGATGGATAGCGATTTTTCGAATAATCCAGGAAGCTATGGTCTGAAATGCAAGAATATCGAAATGGACTGATATATTTGGAATTTAAAGATATATTTTCAGTTTCATCAAAATCAGATAAAAATAGAGAGTCCACAACCTTCGTATTACATACCTTTACACTACTCGCGTACAAGGTGCGGCCATTTTGTCAAGCAGTTTCGGTCCGATTTTCACGAAATTCAAACTCAACCCTCATTGATGTGCAACGGTGATATATTTAAACTTTTTTTTAAATTGAATACAAACTGTGATTTCTAGCGCTTCGCAAGCTAAAAATACGGATATGTGAGAAAATTGAAAGGAGACGAGATCTTTGTGATATAAATTTAAAGTTTCATCAAAATCGGATCAAAATTGTGGCCTCCAGGGGGTCTACAATCTCGATATACCATATATTTACACTATTTGCGTAGGAGGGGCAGTCATTTTGTCCGGCAGTTTTGGTCTGATTTTCACGAAATTTGAACCCAGCCATTATTAGGGTGTTACGGTGATATATTTAAACGACTTTTTAAATCGAATAAAAACTTTGACCACTAGAGAGACCACAAACTAAAAACGCGATTTTTCGTACAATCAAGGGCCACAATTTAGGAAGTTACAATCCGATATGTGCAAATATCTATAGGACCTAAGATCTTTAGGTTATAAACATGAATTTCAAGTTTTATCAAAATGAGATGAAAATGGTGGTGTCTAGAGGGTCCACAAACTTTGTCCGGCAGTTTTGGTCTGATTTTCACGTCTAGAGTGTCCACACGCTTGGTATTACATACTTTCACACTTTTTGTGTACAAGGGGCGGCCATTTTGTCATTTGAGTGTACCGGTGATATATTCAAACGACTTTTTTAAATAGGGTAAAAAATTGTGACCTCTAGAGTGTCCACAAGTTAAACACGTGATATTTCGTACAATAAGGGGCCCTAATCCATGAAGTTTCGATCCGATACATGCCAATATCGAAAGAAACCGAGATCTGTTGGAGATAAACTTATATTTCAAGTTTCGTCGAAATCGGATAGGATAGTGACCCGTAGAGTGTTCACAAACAAATTGTGGACGGACGGACGGGCGACGACAATATACGTCCACATGAAAAAAAAATGTGGGCGTATAAAAAGATATGGCTATATGACATTTTATACAAGACATAATATCTGTTACAAAGTAAATATCATTGCAAAATTAGCTTCATTTTTCAAATAAGAGATTAAATAGATTATTGGTAATATAATCTTCAACGTCATTATTGTCATCTTGTATAATTCATTCTATTCTTTACAGGGTCAGATCAGGACGTACAAATTTATTATATATATATATATACGTCCCGTCGAACTGTAAAGTGAGCAGATATCTTAATACTTTTTATTGGGTTTTATTTCATTAACTTTATACTGTATATAAATAAAATGGCTTGTCGAGATTAAATTTATTATATATATATATATATATATATATACGTCCCGTCGAACTGTAAAGTGAGCAGATATCTTAATACTTTTTATTGGGTTTTATTTCATTAACTTTATACTGTATATAAATAAAATGGCTTGTCGAGATTAACGGTGCGGAAAATGTTCAGAAATATGTCTACCCCACAATCTTTCATCCACCCACCCACCCATCCCAACCCAACCCTACAACTACGCTGCTCCCGGTGACGCGGTGGGAATCAACATAATTCAAAGCAATCGACAACAGCATAATTCAAGATAAATGAAATTGATCTAGTGTGTGAAATAGCTTTTTGACGTTCGCTTTCACCTAAGTAATATCGCAGACAGACACCGGTTTAAGCGAATGTACACACGCTTGTCACAAGTAAATTCGTTACAAGCTTGTATCACATATCTACTGAGTCTGATATTTGGAGATAAAAAAACAAAATCAATCTATTGAGTCAGAAATAATTGGCCCTAATAAAATATTCATGGCATAATACAATATCAGTAAAAATATTGGTTGAGAATAAGTTCCTTAAAATTGCATCTATTTATATGGGAACTTCACATAATTATTAAAATATCCTTGTACGCTTACATAATGTTTGCAAGAGAACCAACAGGACAGGTTTGAAACGGGTAATGATTAACAGTAACTACTTATACTTAAAATGTATGTAATTTGAAAAACAAACCAATAACTTATATAAAAAAATCACTTTAATATTTTTTTATACTAATTGTACAATTTAACACATTCATATTTTTTATACTAATTGTATGAGTTAACGCTTTCATAATTTGCAGTACCAATAAGTTAACACTTTCATATTTTTTTAAAACCAATTTCAACAATGACAATCAGTTCTTCTTATGACCTACAGTGCATCAGCATGTCAAGGTTTAATAACATTAGTTTGACACTCTCACTGTGTGACCAATAAAATAATAACTTATTTCAAACAAACCCTAAAAGACAATACAGGAGAACTGCACATCAAGCCAGAGACAAAACAAGTGGTACAAGAACATGTCATAATTAGATAAATATTCCCGGGAAGATACAATTTTTTACCAGGAAACTAGTATAATTAAATAAGAGCTAAAGCCGTGAGTGTGGGTGGGTGTCTGCGTGTGTGAGGAAGGGGAGGGGTATCCTTTATCCAATATTCGGACTAATAGCTATAAGTATCCTCTATATGCATAGGTTATTCGACACGTTACGTGACTATTACAATGGGACCAGACCATTTAATGATAGTAGTTTTATCTTTTTAAAACAGAGTCCAAAAATAGTATAGGTAATAAAAGCAATTTCACTGAACAATCCACATTCCTTGTTTTAGCATTTACCCGCAAGTATGCCTTATCTCCCCAGTCCTAGATCTGAAACGGTGCGCCTACATGATGCTTCAGTATAAATTTAAACAACACCGATTGAGTTTGCTTACTGTGTTGCTCGCTGTTGGTGGTTTGGTCAATGGTTTGATTATGGTGCTTATAAATGGTTCTTAGCAAAATTATATGTACATGTATTTGTATTAAAGCAACGAACTTAGAAAGTTTTCAACAAGCCAATTATCAAGGAAAACACCGCAAACGCAAAGAGATCAAGTTCAGATCACGATACGGGGTTTACGGATCATCCACGTTCGGCTTATTTTTCACACAAAGTTCGAAGAGAAAATAATTATGGTTCACCATCGTGTATCAAGGGAAATGATGATAGAATCAAGATGATATGCGAACAGTTCTGTAGATTATACCAGCGTCATATTTTCTCGACATGATTTGTTATATTGGGTCCCCCGTAGATTTTACCTAGCTCTATGGGATATAATTCATTATACACATGGTTAGATATCGACCGACACGGCCTTAACTTTATTAACTCGGGTATTATACTATTATTCGCTTTACAGATCGGCATAAAATAAATACCTTCCCTCATGGCCAAATTTCTTTTTTTATTATTATTATTTCTACTGTTAACAAGTTTCTGAAATTTATAGATAAAGACGTCATGTTTCTTAGTTCTCTCTTTGACAAAAAAAACTGTTTCCTCTTAAAATATGAATTTTTAAAAATCTCTTTGGAGAAGACAACTTGAAATAGAATAAAAAAATAAATAACCTTATTCACTCGATCGAATGCAGTTGAATTTCCCTAATTAGTCAATTAAGTGGGCATTTTTTTTTAGCGCAAACAGTCCACTTTCTATGGAGTTCTATAATCCTCAAGTAGTTGTTTGTGTAAAAACTTTAATACGTAGATTATATATTTCTGTTTTTTAACAGATATAGATATTGTCCCATTATAAACATAATCTTAGAATGTTCGTTTGATATATTCAAAATGTCATTTGGTCCTTAATCATACAAAAGCAATATTGATTTATAGAAACTGCCGAGATGCTTTTTAATGACCGCATAAAAAGTTTTGTTTAACATCTCTCAGGTCCAAACTGACTGAAAACAAATCTGAAATAAACGAATATAAATCACCCTCCTACAGTATGCGCATTCTTTGATATGCAGATCACGACACTGGCCTTGTAAACAGTAAAACAATACAACCACTGACAAAGTAACAAATTTATGGTGATTTACATTCACCCTCAGCTGTCAAAAAGGCGACCATGTCTCATCTAATCAATGTACCTTTTTTTTACAAAAGACCTTTTTACTCAGAAAAGGCAATTGATCATGTAATTTGTTCCCTAAAAGAATCTTTTAAAAAATAACCCTTACTAATCAACAAGCGTCCATAATAAAAACTGTCATTAATTGGTTGATAATGGTAAATTTATGACTGTATATCTAGATAGCTGAATGTTGTATTAATCACTGATATTATGCGATAATCTATCACCCCTTTTATTAATTATATTATCATTATTACTATACCTTAACAATAGATCTTGTCAAGCATTTCATTATAACCTTTGATCTATATTTTGATAAATGATATTTATACTACTATTGTAATATATTCTCTTTCTATTTTCAGAATTAACATGGAACTTAACTTATCATTATTCCTGCTACTTGCTTCGCTAACACTGATATTCGCTCTACCACTATCAAGTATAGAAGAAACAGATAAAAACGATAACGGCATACAGTCACAATTTAGAGACAATGGTGAATATGACGGTTCACTAGAAAAGCGATTAAGCAGTTTTGTACGAATCGGAAAAGCTCCCCGAAGCTCGTTCATGCGAATAGGTCGCCCGAGCTCCTTTGTCCGTATTGGAAAATCAGCCACCGACACAGAATCAAATATGGACGACGAAGAATTCGGATCGCCGGAAAAAAGACCTAGCAGTTTTGTAAGGATAGGAAAGGGTGCCAGCAGCTTCGTAAGAATTGGAAAAAGTTTGGGTGACGATGAAAAGCGTATGTCGAGTTTCGTAAGAATAGGAAAAGGTTTGCCAATGGAAGCTGATAAAAGAAAGAGCAGTTTTGTTCGTATTGGAAAATCAGATCCTGAAAAGCGCGCTTTCGTTCGAATTGGAAAAATCCCTTCATCTGCTTTTGTAAGAATCGGACGCGTTCCCCTGTACGACGCCCTTTTAGAGAAACCTAATGGATTTTTTAGATTAGGTCGAGTAGGAAAATCTTCTTTCGTCAGAATCGGAAAGAGAGACATCGAAAAATAAACTGCATCGGTTATTTTAACAAGTGCCAGTGCAATGTACAAATATTCAGTTCGGCTCAACAGAGCAAAAAATACAAAGAGTTCAAACAAATTTAATGACATTTTGGAAATTTTGGTTTTAAAAATATCTTTGGGAACACTGTTTTACGTATCCGTCCCAGTTTGAAGCCAGTTAAGATTATTAGAGACTTAAGGAACTCTTAGATCAACAATCGTATACATCTTAACAAACCAATATGGTGACGTAAACAGAGACATAATATCAGTTGAAGTTTTTTGTCCCCAATCCCCGCGGTCATTTGCAACCAATCTCATGGACTTAAGCCTTATTTTGATCCTGTAATGAACACTCGAAAATATAAAATGGTTGCACTGCTTCTTGAAGATAAAGATTATAAATTAACGACTATAGCAATTGTTAATCTCCGCTTTTTTTTACTGGCCGTGGGCTGTTAGCTGGAGATGTGAGAAAAGTTATTTCAAAGATATTAACTTTTATCTTTTTAATGCAATAAACCAGAACCATATGATGATATCAGAGATACGAATTTATTACACAAAAATTGTGTATATATGATTCTAAGAACAATATAAAATAACAAAAAAAAACTATGTTAAATACCCTGCAACTGAGATTTTGTTTAAATTATGACAGTATTAAGCTGGAAATTGTCCCAATAAATTGATAATAATGTAATATAAGAAACATCGGCAAAAATAAATAAAAATATTATTTGTTGAATTTATTGTTGTTTACTGTTTAAGTATTAAAGTTTTAGAGCTGATCTTGACTTTTGTTCGCATGATGGTGCTGTTATAGGGTGTGGCAGAATAGCCGGTCAATCAATTCAGATATTTTGATTGTTCACGCGCAAGTATACGTTATAAGTATCCAAATATTTAAAATATGGTCAATAAAATTAAGGTACTTTCGGCGCCCTTGATCATAAATTGATCCAATACTTGGCAGTAGAGTTTTCTTGCTGAAGAGGATGCCTTTTCTGATAGCTAGGGATAGATTTAACAGCAAAACGGGTTTAAAATCTAAAAGATTTCAGGGGTTAATGACTACAGAATAATACGTATTTGGTTCCTTTGGAGGTTGTGCAAGGGAACCCTTAGGCGTAAAATGGAAAACAGAATATAAGCCACTGCTCATAAATTGATCCAATATTTGGCAGTAGAGTTTCCTTGCTGAAGAGGATGTTTCTTCTTATTGCTATAAGGATAGATTTAACAGCAAAACGGGTTTAAATTTTAAAAGATTTCGGGGGTTAATGACAACATAATGGTAAATATTTGGTTCCTTGGGAAGTTTTGCAAGGGAAACCAAAGGCGTAAAATGGAAAATAGAATATAAGCCTGAAGGGCTGATGTTCGATCCCAGTGCTGACCGCGAAATTTCCTCAATGACAGAGGTGGGGTGGAGCACAGGCAAGCGTCTTTCTATGGTAGACCTAACACATATAAAATGCAGTAGACTAGCAACAGCTAATCCAACCGCTTCCCATGGACTTAAATTTGAGGCGACAATAGCCATGCTTCAACTTCTTATATCTGCGAGTCATGTGGTCGTCTGCTGAATTGGCTAAGCCCTAAAGAATGTTCCTGGCGCAGGTATAAGTATAAATGCTCTCAATGGGTTTGATTGAACCTGGCCATCCAGGATAGTCTTCTCGTTCAGAAGATCACCTTTGAATATAGCTGAAACGTCTTTTCTTGGTGTGGCGCGACATTTGTCTCTTTGATTGTTGCCGGGGGATTCCTTACTTTAATTTTGGAATCATTAATTTTCAGATATGTTTTCAGGTGAGTTTTATTACTAAGGGTTTCAGACAGATTTGGGATTTTATATCCATGAGATTATCCTTTGACAAAGTCATTGGTGAAAAACTAAGTTTTTTCTATCCTGTCGGAGGTCGTGGGGTGAGATCTGAATCTAAACCTTAACTCCAAAATATGCATTGCTTTTTACATGTATGTCCAGAACGGTGAACTTAAATCAATCGATTTTACACAGAATCCCCTCGTCCCCGTTAAAAAAAATGATAGGGGAGGGGAAGGTGGCTAACCTTTCTAGTTGAATAATTGAAGTCGGACAGTCTGTATATGGTGGTATATAGTAACACTATAGACAGCTTAAATTTTATGGAGGCGTTGCTACTTCCAGTAGTTAACTTCTCGCTATCAATATTGTAAATTGATATATTATATTCGGAAATTGTTAGACCCAAACTAGTGTATAATTACACTCAAATAATTTTTACGCAAGACTGTAAATTAGACATTACACCATAATAGAGGATTTTTATAATTTATATGTTCGCATTAATTGCTATACACAACATGTCGCAAAGCTGTGTTCTTTTGCAAGTATCACTTGAATTTACGTATATCCACCATGTCATAACGTATGATTTAATGACTAATAAACTTACAATGTCCACGTTGAAATAATGCAAAATAACCAAAAACAACTGTCAGTCATTGAAACTTCAGATTATCAGTAAAATATTAAAACGTCATGCACATATTCAGTTTTTTGCAATCGTAGCGACCAACTAATATACAAAATTTTACCATCAACAATACAACAACAAAAAATTAGTAAAATATAATATTCTCAATGAATATTCATTCCACGATACACCAGATTGTTTAAGTTTGGGCGTCCATTCTTGGTGATTCCGGAACCTTTGGGAAACCATTGGAATGACATGGTAAATCGTGAGCCACTGATTTAAGCCAATCCCAGCCGTAACTCAGCGGCTATACAGTGGCACAGTGACAGGTGATATTAAAAGTTTGTAACCTATATACATGTCACGTGTCATCGGTGATATTAAATCGCGTAGTGTGTCAGAAAAATATATTATTATTGACTTCTATCGATACATATGATGTTCTGTCGGGACTTTCTTTATTCAATGAATATATACATTTAACTAATAACTGGTTAGCGGAAACATCAAATATAACGATACCTTTATAAATATCTACCTTAGATTCGAAGATTCTGAATCCATACCGAGATGTTGACATGGAATTTCAGAATAAAATATTCACGAAAATTTTGCTATATTAACTTCGTGCGTGTCTGATTTACAATCCCATCACGCATTGCGTCAAAATATGTGACGTCAATCAAATAAAATGAAATTAGACACCTTTATAAATATACAATGAATATAAATCGTAAAGTACAATCAATACATATACACTAACAGCTTCTTCGTATAATGTGGTTTATTCATTTATGCACATCATTGGAATTAATAATAATTTAGTTACAAACAGTGCCTGATAATATTTTTGAACATTTCAACTTCTTTAAGTGTAAACACGCTAAGAATAAGTTATACTTGAGGTGTTAAGAATAATTAATTGATATATAATACTGGGGACATTTACATCTGTTAAAGATACGTTATGCAGGATTAAGCCAAAGGGCTGACTGTTCCTGCTATTATAGTTTAAAACAACTTCTTAAATATATTGAAAATTTCATTCAAATTACTTTATTCTGGACGATGTAGCGTAGATCGTTTATTATCGTAACAATGGAACTTGATAACCGAGAATAAGTCACGATTATCCAGCTTGTAGTAAAATTTTAAATCTCGCGAGTTTTCAAATCCATTTAAATCTGGGCCAACCGATGACATAAAGAGTTGATTATAGGCTTGGCATGTGAGTAAATTATGTCTAAATAATAATGTATACAAGATTTGGGGACAGAAAAAAGGATTTACCCCACTATGCCAGTAGTTCCTTTGTTAAGGGATTAATTAACAACTAACGATGCAACAATGGGGATTAGTTAGGATTAATTAAGGGTCTACCAGAGGATTAAAACAGTTCACTGAAAGACAGTTCAATTCAATACTTTATTCCATTTCACATCCACTTTTTTACACATTATTATACATTTTAGCATAGAATGTACAAGTTATCATTTTAACATTTCCTTTAATCATTTTCCATTCACTTACAAACATTTTCCTATAAAATATACATTTCCAATAATTCTAAAATTAATTTTACAAGCCTACTAAGTGGGAGACAGCATCCCCGTGTTACATCAAAGAAAGCTTGTTCTTACTTTATGAGGTGGATGAAGCGTTAGATGTTTGGGTGGTTGGTTACAAGTTTGTTTATTTTTGTTGAACGATTAATCTGCTGAACACAGTTCTCTAGACCATGAAACTGACCCACTTGATTAAGGTGTTAATTATAATCCGATAATCATTAACTGTTCAGGGATTAAAAACTGGCATAGTTGGGTGACCCCGAAAAAAGATATGCTATACGCAGATTTAGCTCTTACATAAGCGTAAAGTTCTTCGTGGGGTAAGTTATTCGTGAAGTACTAATGAGATCAACACCAACTGTTGTGATATTTTTACACCCCCTTCCCCCCATCATACTGTGTACAATTAACATTTTTTTGTAGGTTACATTTTAAAAAACGTTAGCAGGCGTGTCAAATTTACATTTATATATTTTAATTGACATTTTTTTGTAGGTTACATTTTAAAAAACGTTAGCAGGCGTGTCAAATTTACATTTATATATTTTAATTGTACTCATATTTATGGTGGCCTATCGCTATCATTCATTTTTCTATCAAAAAAAATAATATGTTAAACTTCAAATTGAAAATAAATGCAAATCAGAATTATACTGAAAATTATTAAACTGAAAATTTAAACTGAAAATAAAATTTAATCTGAAAATAAAAATAAAATAAAGTTAAATCAAATTGAGAAAATAAACTCAAAATCAAAGTAAAAATTAAAATGAAATTCATATCAAAAATGAAATTAAAATAAAAAGAAAAGTAAAATGAAAATTCCTCTTAGCCTATTGCTATCATAGTACCCCATAATGCTTTATCAAACAACACAAACTTGTTGAAACTTGTGGGAACATCTACACATTACTTGTGTTAAAAATTTCTGAAACTCGTGTTGAAATTTCTGAAACTCGTGTTGAAATTTCTGAAACTCGTGTTGAAATTTCTGAAACTTGTGTTGAAATTTCTGAAACCCCTTTTGTCTCAGGCTGGTATCAGTCATGACAGTAATGCGAATACCCCTTTCTTTGAGACACCACCATGGTCTATATCTCCACCCAAGATCGATCTAGATCTTACTAAAAACAAAAAGAAAGATACTCGTTCCACAGCGTTTCAGTCTCTCTTCAGAGAGTTAAGGTCTAAATATGGTGATTATGCTCCAATTTATAAAGATGGCGATCGGGTAGCTTCGGCTACTGTCACGCCCTTTGAGACCATTTCTGTTCGTCTTCCTCCTGCTGCTTCCATATTTACTACTAAACTCCAGGCCATCTTTCAGGCTTTGGAGTTCATTAAATCATCTTCATCTTTAAAACACATTATATTTGCTGATTCTTTGTCTTCTTTACAGGCAATAACAATAAGCAATTAGTACACCCTTTAGTAGCAGAAATTTATCGTCTGCTACTATCACACGAGTTTAACGCCAAGGACACCATCCTATGCTGGCTCCCCAGTAATGTTGATATTAAAGGGAATGATCAAGCAGACTAAGCTGCCAAGTCTGCTTTAGATCTTCCCATATCACAATTTCTTTTACTTTTCACCGATTTGAAATCGTCCATTAATGTTTTATATATGACCGCTGGCAACGGTCTTGGGATCTTGCAGACTCTTGCAGACTCAAACATCACATTAAGCCCCTCTTAGGAGACTGGCCAAGC